TATTCAAATACATGTTTAAATAAATTCATTGAATAAAAAAAATTAAATAAAATTAAATTGAATCAAATCATAAAAAATTAATTCATCAATTAATAAAATAAATAAAATTAAAATCAATTGAAATCATTTGAATCAAATATTATTATTCATTGATATTCATTGAATCCATTAAGATGTATCATTGTACTCACCTGTATGAAGAATGTATTTTGCTGGTAATTTAAATCCAGGTGAAATCTTTGTACATCCAGTATCACATCCATTAAGAAGAGCATTGTATTTTCTCAAGATACCACCAGCAGCTCTATGAATGGCTATGTGATCATCAAGCAGATGATGATACAAGTGTAGTAGTAGTGATAGGATCACGTCAGATGATGACATGGTATTGTGTGAATCAGTAATATCAATAATAGATATATATATATACAAATATGTACAAATATATACAAATATATATAAAACAATAGTACTATTACCATTATTATAACACTTGTACTTACCTCCATCAATACCACCTCCACCCAACAAGGATTCATTGGCAGCATTCACCACAGCATCAATTTCCAATTGAGAGACATCACCTCTAAAAAAAGAAATCTTCTTATTAATTGCTTCATTATAGTCATAATAACCCTTCTTGATGGCATCATGTTCAGGATTGAATTGAGATAATATTGGATATTCTCTATTTCTGAGATAGGAAGAGAATACTTTTTTTAATACCTTCAATCGATGGTTGTTCAAGTCGATTCTTTTCAGCATACGATGGATATAACTCTAATTGATCCAAAGTGACAAAATCATTGCCACATGCATAGAGAGATCTCTTTTCTTGAAGTGTGGAGGGTTCAGTCCAACCCACGAGTGAAGGTGAAATTGGAAGAGGAGGAGTGTTGTTATGATTGTTATTAGAAGAAGAAGAGGTGGTGGTGGTACGAGTGGTGGTGGTCAGAGTGGTGGTGGATAAAGATTCATCCACTTGAGAATCTTGCATCGCATCCTCACTCACCACTGCTGCTGCTGCTGATGATGATGGAGGTGAGGATACTTGGGAGTCTTCCATAATGTGATGATGATGATCATTGGTGTTGTTTGTTGTTGGAATCATTTTTTTTTTGTTGTTGTTGTTGTTGGTGTTGGTGTGGTTGGTGTTGTTGGTGGTGATTGGAACCCTATTGCGCGTGACGGTTCCGATCACCAACTCGTAGGTGGACTACAACTCCACCTACCAAAGAAACCCAAGGCACATGTTCCTTCACACAACAACAACACCACCACCTCTCTTCAAAAAATCTAATTAGTTTATTGTTAGCACCATTGGTGCTGGTAAAACTATTAAACGCACGTTCATGCGGTTGTCTTTGGCTTGAATTGTCTTGAAATTGGTTTCAATTCTGTGGAGCATATAAATCTTGTTGAGGTTAGTCGATTCAATTCATTGATGTCATTAAGCTTGTATTCAACAATTAGGTATGAGTAGGTATCTTTTACCTTTTTCTTAATACTGAGTCTCTCTTTTTCGAATTTGATGGTTGTGTTCTTGCATAGTGTTTTAATAGCTTTGATAATTGCGAGTTCACTTGTTGATTCAGGGAGTATACAATTTGCTATATGCGTTTCTTGCTTTCTTTTGATAATTTCAAATCCTTGTTCAATCAATTCAGTGTTGGGATTCTTGGAATCAAAGTTAATTTTAAGTTTGTACAAGGTTTCTTGTGGATTGAATGTTAGGCACATTTGTTCAATTCTACATTTCTTTTGATTGATTGAGTACTTGATGAGAGTTTGGATGTTCGAAATTGATTTTTCTTTGGCTATTAATGTTGTTGGAGATGATGTAAAAATCATTGGTGAGGCGAAATATTTTGTTTGTGTTTTTTCTGTCATGACACGGCTGGTGAATGAAGTTTCTTTAGTATTTGTTGTTGAGTTTCGGCATTTTGAATGACTAAATTGAGAGTGTTGGTCTTGCTGTCTGGGATGTACCAGTGTTGAATAACTGATTCAAATCTTTTTAGAATAAATTTAACAAATGAGGATGAGATATTGCTGTCCGAGTAGATTGAGATTGAATTAGTTTTGTTTTTGGGTTGACCAGTATGTTCAATTTTGAGTTGAGGAGTTTCTAAATGTTTAGTTTCCTGTTTTGGTTGTTGGGTTGGTTCAGGTTTTGGTTGAGGGTGAATTTTTCGTGCTTTATTTTGAGCTTGAGAAATTTTAATTGTTGATTGTTCAGGTTTTGGTTGAGTTGGTTTTGTAACTTCAATTAATTGCTGTACTGTTTGTGTGAGCGTCTTAACAGCATCTTGCAGTTCTTTGTTGTTGTTGTTGTTGTTCTAAGTGATTTATGAGTTCTTTGATGACGAATCGAAAAAAATGACTCAACAACAAACCATCAAAGAACTCATAAATCACTGATGTAATGCTGTGACAAGAGAGGATCGCAACCATGATCCGGTTTCCGAAGGTGAATAATAAATTTTTGGGTTCAATTTTTTTCGATTCGTCATTAAAAAAAAATGTTCTCGAGGCGTGCAGTCGCTGTTGTTGTTGTGCGAAGGAACATCACTGTGTTGTCATCATCCATTCGATGTTCGACAAGTACGACTACTACTACTACTACTACTACTTGGGTGAATTCCAATTATCGGAAAGATTCATCATCGATAACGTCATCAACCAACAAGATTCACTATCATTCATCATCCTTTCAATCCTCATCATCATCACCACCACTCTCTACTATTAATATATTATATTTTGCAATGAGATTTCCAGAATTATCTGCCACAGCAAGTTCAGTTCGAATTTATCAACTATTAGAATCATTCAAACAATTACCTTATTATTTAAATCACACCACTCGAGATTTAATACATGAATTTAATCACAAAAGGATGAATCATTCTTGTCATTCCGATATGAAGAGTGAAACAAATTCTTGTCATTTCAATGATGATCATGTGAACAATAAGAATCCTATTGAACTCAATAATACCACCACAACCAATACTACTGCTACTACCAATACTACTACCAATACTAACAACAACAACCATAATAATAATAGTATAGCTACTATTACTACTACTTCTAACACAACTACTCTCAATGTCACATTCATTACACCTCAATCCATTCATTCTCTTCATGCTCAACAATTTTATAATGATTTTAAAGATCAATTTACATCCTTTCAATTAAAAACTATAGAAAGTAATGATTTGACAAGTATGGATGAATTTTTAAAAGAATATTCAAGTATACTTCCCCATAAAAGTACATTAAATTTATGTATTTTTGATACCATGATTAGTGAAGAAATTTATAGTTTTAGAGTTCGAGAAGTATTAGAGGGTTCTTTTTATCATCACCATAATTACAATCACCACAACAATTACAGCAACCATCACCATGACCATCATCACAGTACAACTCTATTCATTACTGATACACAAGATTTGAGAAGTGTGAGAAATTTTAGAATGGAACAATTAAATCAACAACAACAACAACATGATGCATCATTTTTTGTTTCAATGGATCTACCCAATGCTACCAATGAATTACTATTAAGAGAATTATCATCCATCTATCGAAGTGATTTGTCACTCATTGTGAGTCGAGATGAATTGAATTATTTAATTCATTTTTATGGAATTCCAAAACAAAAGTTAGGAATGGCATCTTTTTTTTATTCATTCAATCAGAAACAAATGACATCATCATCTCCAGAAGAAATGTCTTCTACCTCTCATCCATCATATTCCTCCTCTTCTTTTACTTCTTCATCACATTCTTCTTCTTTTACTTCTTCATCACAATATTCTTCTTCCTTTCATTCACGTCATCATTTCATGACAATTGGAAATGGTCATCATCCTCCAAATAAGGATTCCATTTATTACATGAGACATTATGTATGGCCATTCATACATTCAAAATTACCAAATGCTGAATTTCATATCTATGGAGCTTATTTATCAAATCAATCACAACTCTCTTCCAAATCATTGAATTTTTATGTGAAAGGAAAAATGAAGGACTTGAATGAAATGTCTAAATATAGAGTGAATTTGGCCATGTTGAGAGCTGGTGCTGGAATTAAGGTAAGTGTGTTGAATATGTTGATGAGGGTGTTGAATGTATTGTTGTGAATGTGTGTTCATTCTTACTTGTACGGTTCATGAATATTTTCTAATATTTTAGGGTAAAATTGCAGATGGATGGATGTATGGATTACCATGTGTGTCCACACTCATTGGATATGAAGGAATGAATTTGGAGAGTGGTATTTGTGGTGATAAGGGTGGTGGTGGTGGTGGTGTGTATGGTTGTTCAAGTGGTGATAAGGGTGGTGGTGATAATGATAAGGGTGGTGGTGACAGGACTGATAGCAGCACTACTACTCATACTCCTCCATCTTCATTCCTATGGGGTGGTCTTATTGCACATTCCATGGATGAATTTGTATCACATGCTCACTCTCTTTACACCAATGAAGAATTGTGGATTCAAACATCAAGACAAGGATTTCATTTACTCTCACAATTATTCTCTCAAGAGTTGAATACTCATCATTTATTATTAGATATTAAGAGAGTGTATGAATTGAAGATTTTAAATAAGAAGAATAGTTATAATAGTAGTAGTAGTAGTTGTAGTAGTTGTAGTAGTTGTAGTGGTAATAATAGTAGTAGTAATGGTACTTATAGTAATGGTTGTGATGTGAATGGTCATTTTAATACTGTACTACCACTGGCCAAGATGAGAGGAGATCACTCTTACTATTCTGCACCCTATAATTATGTTCAACACATCTTGGCATTGAATCAATATCGAACAAGTCATTACATGGCTAAATATATTCATGAAAAGAATAAGAAAAAGAATGATGAATAAGGTGTGTGTGCGAGTGTGTGTGCGAGTGTGTGTGTGCGCATGTTGGAAGGAGTCTATTCTTACGACGAGAAGCATTGCAATGCGCGTGAGAAGAAATATAAGCATCATTCAATACCCTATGAGATCTCAAGTGTTCATTCAAACTAAGAGAATATCACCTATGATAATAATGATTCTCCAAATTTGCACTATTTGACAATCATTAAAGAAAGATGTGTGTTCATTCACAAAACACGTGTTGAGGCACAACGCTGGTTCGTCATCTTTGGAACTTTTGAAATGAATATTTAAAAAACAATTCAAAAAAAATGCGACGCTTATCGACCACAACTCCACCACCAATGGTTCCATTCATGGAAGAAAATCATCATTCATCTGTTTCGGATCCTCACGATACAACCACATTAACCACTACAACCACATCAATACTTAATAATACAGAAATATCAGCAGAGGATGATCCAATCATTTCGGATTATGTTTCCGAGGATGAAGAAGAAAACATTGGACCAACCACCTCTCATGATGATGTAATAACCACCAATCCTACGAACAATACATCTTCTCAAAATATATCCAATCCTAACACATTATCCACCAACATGACTTTATCATCATCACCTGAAACCACAGAATCATCATCCTCACTTCCACCACAATCATCAACCAATGTACAGTCCAATTCCAATCCAAATACTCATTCAGATGTAGATTCCATGTGGTCATGTAATATTTGTTTTGATACAGCCAATGAACCAGTGATTACTCAATGTGGTCATTTGTATTGTTGGTCATGTCTTTATAGATGGATGCAAAGTCATTCTACTCAAAATTTACAATGTCCTGTTTGCAAAGCAGGTATTCAACAAGATAAAATAATTCCAATTTATGGAAGAGGAAGTAGTCATTCGAATCGAAATGTGGATTCTACATCTACAGATAATCACTCCACTCATAATGGTATTCCTTCAAGACCTCGTGCACAATATACAGATTCTAGAACAACACCAAATCCAAATTATAATCCATTTCATAATATGGGAAATTTATTTGGAGGAGGTAATTTCTTTGGAATGGGAGGAGGATTTGGAGGTGCTGTTGGTGGAGGAGGTATTCATGCAAGTAGTAGTAGTAGTAGTATTGGCACTGGAGCATCAACATTCTTATTTGCAGATGCATTTCGATTCTTTCCATTTTTTGATATTCAATACAGTGGTGGTGGTGGTGGTCAGAGTGATGGTGGTTTAGGAATGACAACCACTTCCAATTCGACTCGTTTACATCCACCTCCTTCTGAACAAGAAGAATTTCAGGGCTTTGTTCGACGATTGGCATTCTTTTTGGATTTTTATTGCTGTTCTACATTATATTTGTGTAGGAACATGTGAACTCGAATCACTCGTTGCATCTCATTATTACTCAAATGGGAGAGTTAAACTGAATTCTATATGTGTGTGTACATGAGAGAGAACATGTGTTGCAACAAAACTCTAAAATTCTCACCATATTATTCATATTTTGTAAAATCCACTGAATTTAATTCTAAAAAATCATCACTTTCACCACAGAATATTCTTACTTGTACATTATCGTTTGTTAACAATCCATGATCCATCCATGTGATCATGTCATTGGTTGAGAATGGTCCATGAATTTCGTTGGTATCTTTGACTCGATATTCCCATTTCACTCTTTTTTGAAACGATTCTCTTTTTTTATCATAAATATCATAAACGTTGTAATGAGTAATTAAAATATTTGCTATTTTGATTAATTCATTGTATACTTTTGAAGGATCTTGATCAGTACCACTCGAGTGACAAGTCATTGATTTTTTCAATCGTTGTAATGCCTTAGAAATTGTTTCTTTTCGATCCATGAGATGATCAACAATATATTGATGGCATTCAGAGAGTGATAATGGAGGAG